GGTCTCCGGGGCCCCGGCAGCTCCCAGCCCCGCTCCTCCGACCCCTGTGCCCGCACGCTGCTAATTGCACCCGATGGCTGGCGCCGGGGTGCAGCTGCGGGCTCCGGCGCTGGGAGAAGGTCGCACAGCGCTTCCATAGCTCATTAAAGCGGCGCCGCAGCTCAGTGAAGCGGTGTCCTTTTGTCCTCTTGCTCCTTTTCATTTTAATTGACGGAGAGGGACAGCCAGTTTACTCTACAGAAGGGAAAGTGGGACAGGGAAGATCCCGATGGAATGAAGGCAGCTGCAAAATCACTACAACAGACCTGAAAGGCAGGGACTGCAGCTTACACTTGTCTATACTTCTTGGCTATGAAAACAGCACTGGGGAGACCTACTGAAGTCTAAGTAATAAAATACAAAGTGCTGTGCTCTGTAACAAGTGCGGGAGACAATTAAACGAGTGGGTCCGGGATGTGGCACATCTGCTTAATGTCTTGGCTTCACCCAGGACCGGATATAATGGTAAAGCAATGACCTCGGTGCGTGGTTTCTGTTAAGTGATAGTGTCTCTCATTTAGTTCCGGGGACCCTCCTCTGGGCAGCAGGCAGCACAGTATGAGATACATTAGCTTACTGCTGCGTGGTGCAGTAGCGTGATCCAGCACTCTCAGAGGCTTTCCAAAGGCTTTTTTCATTATAGAATAAAATAAAAGATGTCCTGTTCTGTGACTGGCACTGCTGATGTAAACTCTTCTGATTTGGTTTACATTTAAGAGCAGGATGTTAAAATCAGAGTGGAACAAATTGGAAAATGTTCAGGAAAGATCTGAGCTTCAGGGACTGTCAGTTAGCCACAGGAGGGTGTTAATTAGGATGAAGTTCTGTACCTAGGAGGAAAAATAAGTGCCAAATGTGAAGTAGGCTTATGAAATCACTGTTTTACCACCTGACTAGCTGTGGGAAGGCAGAGGGGAAGATCTGAAAGGTGTTCCTGACAGCATATAGTGCAGGGTGATTTTTTTTTTTTTTAAATTGTTCTGCCTCTAAGGCCTCTTTGTATCACAAAGTTTTGGACATTTCCCTTTCCTGGCCTGGTGGAGGGTCTTGCTCTGAAGACAGGCAGCCAGGTTGCAGATTCCCTGTGGCTGGAGGCTGAAACAGGAGCTCAGTAAGGAAGGAATAAACCAAGACCAGGAGCACAAGGACATGTGGAAAATTCAGAGGCAGAGCCAAGGCTGGACACCAGAATGTGGTGGAGGCAGGATGGCACGAGGAGGCTCAGGGCAGGCTTGGCAGGACACGCAGCCATGAAAACTCTGTACCCATGTGCCTGGGTGTCCCTTGAGCAGCCAGTCCAGGGCAGAGCCTCACAGCACCCGTAAGACAGCAGCACCAATCGCTGAGCCTCATCTGCTGTCCTGCAACATAGCAATGATGCTGTGAGGCTTACCCTGATGTGATAAAGAACTTGGCAGCCTGACAGAGCGCTTCTCTGATTTCAAGTCCTTCTATTCAGAGGTTCTTTGTCAAGTGTGTGCTAACAGTTCACTGTCTTAAATGTGCAAAACTCCAAAAATACAGGGAAGATTGTCCCAGAAACAGACCCACTGCAAGCTGTGGGTGCTGCTGCCATGAGGGCAGCACCTTGTGCACCAGTGATCAGTGAGGATGCTGCGGTGCATCCTCCGAGAATGCTGAGCAAACTGGAGACCTCGCAGTAGCAAAGCTCCAAGGGATTAGGTACTTCCCCATCCTTTGACAGCATTTACTGTGGGCTAAGACAGAATCCACTTACATCCTTCCTTACCTGTTTCTGCAGGGAGGGAGGTACCTTGGAAAGTTGGGTTACGACACTTCGCCCTGTTACAGCACCCCTGGACCCGTTTCTTCCCTCATTTGTTCTCCACATTGCTGATTGCCTCTTGCCTCTTCACCCGCATGGCAGAAACGTGAACTGGGAGATATTCCTAACTGGCCAGGGCCTGAGCAATATTTCCAGGTGTTGATGGGCATCATTTCACCTCTGACTGTGGAATTGGAATCTCTGAGGTCTGGGCAGGGTCCTGCCATGGTTAACTACGTGGGCTGAAGTGCATCAGCTCCTTTGGAGGGAAAATCCTCCACAAAATCCTACAACTCGAGATACGGTAAATTCCTACTGGGTGTCTTCCCATGACATTTGCTACACTGGCAGCTAATTTAGTCTGCTCTACAACAGATGCTTCTTTGGGACCTTTTGGCAAGCTATGACAGCTTGGAAAAGCTTCCACAGAGTCTGGTAGCTACAAATGGGTTTCCTTGTGTCTATTTGCTATATTTCTCCATGAAAAAGAGCTGCCATTTCCATTAGACTCTCTTCTCATTCCTATTTCTTAATTTTTCAGCCTACAAGGAGAAAATGAAGGAGCTGTCTCTGCTCTCCCTGATCTGCTCCTGTTTCCATACCCAGCCCCACCCTAACACCATCTACCAGTATGGAGGTACGTAACCCACTCTGGCAGGAGCTGCAGCATCCGTTGCACGATGTTCCTGCAGACAGCATGGGAGCTTGTCCACGTGCCCGGGGCAGCAATCCATGTCTCATCCCCGGGTCTTTCTGTTTAGTCTCCTTCCACAGTTTATTTTATTAATGTAAGCCCCATTTTCCCAGGAAGAACCTGCTTGCAGAAGCTGTCTTCTTCGTACTGGGGTGACATTGAAGCTGTTACCAGCAATATGGCCTGTCTGTAATTGTGCTCTGAATTTAAATTAATTGCATTGACCTGGGGGGAGGTGAAGCTGGTCACTAATCGGGAAATTTTGGAGATAGAACAAAATGACCCAGGTCAGGACATGGGAACACCCATAACTCCCATGTGAAGGGCTTGGTGCCTTCAGGTGAATGCTTTCCGGAGTGTCACAGGTCCACAGAACCTCTGGGGTTTTCTTCTCTCTCAAAGATATGGAAGTGAAGCAGCTGGATAAGAGGGCATCAGGCCAGAGCTTTGAAGTGATCCTGAAGTCCCCTTCAGATTTATCTCCTGAGAGCCCGATCCTTTCCTCTCCCCCCAAGAAGAAGGACCTGTCCCTGGAGGAGCTGCAGAGGAGGCTGGAGGCTGCAGAAGAGAGGAGGAAGGTAACAAGATGTCCCGTTGTCATGGTTTAACTCCAGCCAGTAAACCAGCACACCCATAGAAGCAGCAGCTTTTCCAATTGCAGCAAACCCTAAAACTGGCTCAGCAGGAGCAATCTAAGATGGTTGGAAATAGTGATTTTACACTTATTGTTATATTCCACTATGAATTGTCAGGTGAGACAGGGGAGTCACGGGGTGAGATTCTGCAGCCTGGTTCAGGCAGGGGATTGGACTTGATGCTCATCATTGTCCTCATGTTCCTCAAACCACGCAGCGTGGGGTCCCCTTGGTCCTCTGCGTGTGACCTGGCTGCAGGGGCAGTTCTTGCCAGCTGATGCTGCAGGAGATGTAGCAGTTGGCCACATCTCCCGCTCAAACTCCAGGACTAAACCTTGTGTTTCTACCAGCTGGCTGTGCCACACTTCAAGTCCTGTATAAAATGTGTTCTGGTGAAAACTGGTAAAGTAAACCATAAACGTTAGAATGCTGGTGGGTGAGGGGGGAGCAAGCTGCCGTAATTCAGAGAACAAGGTGACGCTCGCAGAGGGGACTCTGCACCCGCACATGTCACCTCAGTTGTGTGGGGCCAGTGGGCGCAGCATTGCATCGCCTGCCTGCCCCAAGCACCAGACCCAGCAGACATTGCCCCACAGCATGGAAAGGGTGTCAAAGCATCTCCCAGGCAAGAGCATTATGGGATGGAGGGGGTTGGTAGGGGAGATGGTCAGAAAGCCTCTCTGGGGAGGTGAAGACTAGAGGAGCCTCTTTGGTTGCCTTACACCTCTCCCGACACCTCGCCTCGGCAGACCCAGGAGGCTCAGGTGCTGAAGCAGCTGGCGGAGAAGCGGGAACACGAGCGGGAGGTGTTGCACAAGGCGCTGGAGGAGAACAACAACTTCAGCCGCCTGGCCGAGGAGAAGCTCAACTACAAGATGGAGCTGAGCAGGGAGATCCGCGAAGCACATCTCGCCGCCTTGAGGGAGCGGCTCCGCGAGAAGGCGAGTGCAACGCGCCGGGAGAGGGCTGGGGGCTGATGTGCATGGGGAGGTTTGGGGTCTGGTCCCTGCGGGGTCATCCCAGAGCGATGGGCAGAGGAGAGAGGGCGTTTCGTTGCTGGTGGAAAACGGGTTGTGGAGCAGCTCCACTCCAAAGCAGCATAGGAAGGGGGGGTGTGTCCTTCAAGGTCAGTACAGAAAATACCCTCTGGCTGATCTTGAGAAATGCAAGCTCAGAGGCACAGGATCAGGCCCACTCCGTGTCCAGGGGCTGCGTGGCCCCAGGGCTTTGTGGAAGAGGGGAGCCGTCAACGCCTTCGCTGTAGGTTTGCATCCCCCCTGGGCTCCCACAGACGAGATGCTTCGCTCCTTGCAGGCATAACCCATTGCCCTCGGGCTTTGCCGGACTGGCAACTGCTCTGGTTTTTGTCTGGTACAAATCCTGTGTGCAGGAGAGAAGGAAAATAGGGACTGCAAGAGCAGAAAGGGTTAGCCTGGTGTCGTCTCTCCCATCTCTGCAGGAACTGCACGCAGCCGAAGTTCGCAGGAACAAGGAACAGCGGGAGGAGATCTCTGGATAAAGGGCTTTTCTACACATCTAGCACCAGATTCCTGTTAACCGACCAACCAACACGTTTTATTTTGTTTGTCTAGATGCAACATTCGGTTCTCCATCCCCCCTCCCCTAGTGTTTGTCCTCCCGGCTACACGCTTCTCTATCTCTGCATCCTTAATCGTCAGTACTTGTGGGGGATTCACAGATCATAGGGACCTCTAAGCAGAATAGCAACTAGTTCACATGAAATAGAGAATTGATCAGTCAATCAAACAGCTTCTTTGGAGGGTTTTGTCCTTTTTTTAAAAAAAAAAATATTTCTTAAACTGATGTAAAAAAAAATAATAATTAAGATATTAATAAATTCAACCAGCAGCGTCACGGAGATACGGATTTCTTACCCAGGGCTTTTACTCCTCTTGGTGTTTGCTCTGAGCCAAATACCGGTTTAGACTAATGGGCAGTACGTGATAGTTTCTGTGTGTGGAGTGGACTTAGGGAGCAGCCCCGCGTTTGCCAGTGGCAGGAGAGAGGAACGAGAGAGGGATGGGATGGCTCAGGAGTGGTGGCGTGCAGACCCCCGTCTGGTGGCTGTACCTGGAGCCAGCCCAGGCAGGCGGTGCCCCAGATTCCTCCCCTTTGGGTGATTCTCAGCCCATCTGAAAGCAGATGAGGGTCCCCACCCAGGGCTCAGTGCCACGTCATGGCCAGTCCCTGTCACGGCAGGCACTGCCCGATGCCCTGGTAGCCTGGAGGAGCCCACAGCCTGAGCCGCTCTCCCCCCGGCAAAGCGGGGACCCAGAGGTTCTGGCTGACCAGCCTGGGAGAGCCGCCAATGGCAACTGCATCCCTGGCTCCGCGGGAGCCCTGGGAGAGGGTGCTGGGTCTGCGGGCTCCCCGGCGCTCCCAAACCATGCGGTTTCACTCCAGTGAGAAAGTAAATCCAGTAGACGCAGTGCGTGGTGGTGAAATAGCCGTTTAGTGAACAGAAGAACCATCCTTCCCTCTTTCCAACGATGGATGTGACTCTTCGGTGCCGTTACAGGGCAGACACCCGGACCTCTGGATCGGCAGGCGAGCCCCGGCGCTCTGGCTCACAGGCAGCATCCTGGGTGCCTCCAGACCTGCGGCTTTGGATGAGCGGGAGCTAAGAGGGGAGCAGGTCTGCAGTAAGGGTGAAGGGATGTCCCCGTGCTCATTCCTTGTCTACCTTTACCTTTTCAAGGCCTGTTTTTAAGGAAAAAGAAGGCTCTTGCTGGGGGTAGGGATGAGCAGGGAGCATGCGAGCATGTCTGACCTAAGCAGCCGACCGCCAAAGCCCGTGGGCTTCCTCATCTTCTGGTCTCACGGCCTGTGGAGGTAGCCAAAGTCCGAGCAGCCACCATGCACTGCGAGGAGCTGCCAACCTCCCGCTGGGATCCACAGCCCTGCTCACCTTCTGCCTTGACAAAGCCAGTGGAAGCGTTGCACCTGGAAAGCAGGGAACGGTCTCCTTTGGCACGTGGGATCTCGGAGAACGCGGTGCTGGGGACTCAGCCCCGCAGCAGCATGGTCCTGCCGCAAGGTTTTGCCGTGGGAGCTGCTTTCCATCGAGGCAGAAGGTAACCGGAATTCCCCCCTCCAGTCCGTGGAGGCTGCTGGGAGGTTACCCTTTAACGGACGGGTGGTGTTTTGGGGCCACGGCGCAGGGTGTTTACACCCTGGATGGTGTTTACCCAGGGCACCGCTCCCCGCGCAGAGACAAGGAGCTAGAGCAGATGAGGGGTTTGCAGTGGGAATAATGAGCGGCAATACCCCTTGCCTCTCCCCCCTTGGAAAAAGAAATCACGGAGTCTCGCCAGAAGCTGAAGTTGTCCGTCTACCCTGTGTTTTAATTAGGTAAAGAATTGATTACGGCCTGGGGTGAGCCTGAGGCGGTCGCAGGAACCCCATGGAAAGCCAAAGAGCAGCAGCTGCTGGAGATGCAATCCCAGGGCTCTTCGCTCCCCAGAAGTCCCAGCTGGATGCGGGAGAGATCCCTCAGCCACCACGGTTTGATGTTAGGGGACTCTGCTCCTAAAAGGAAGGGCTACCTTGCTCCCAAACCCCTCCGCCTGGGCCGGGGGGAGGACAGGTCCGTTAGGAAGCCCCGGCGCTGTCAGTGACAACACGACATGAGCTTCAGGGCAAAGAGAGAAAAGGGAAGGAAACTGAGGGTTGAATTTCTTACCCGTAGCTAATGATCAGTTTATAGTAGCAGCTTAGATAAGCGTCTGTGTAGAGCGCGGCATCGCCGCCAGCATCACCTCATTCATAGACATTTAAAAAAGTTTAAAAAGAACAAAAAAAAAAAATCAAAGTAATTTAAACGAAATGTTTGTGTGTAAGAAATGGTTGAAACTGTCAAATGTCTGTGTCCCGCGCTGGTGGGATCTGAGAAGGTATCTGCGAGATATTAACCCTGTCCTACTCTGTGGTGCTGAGTGTTTGCTTGGTGTGTAACTCTGACCTGGAGCTTGTTGTAAATACTGTTTTTAGTACTATGATTATGATGATTATTATGATTATTATTATCAGAAATGTTGTACTCTTGAGCAGGAGTTTGAAACAAAAGAAACGACCGTTTTCACCCTCTCCGGGGGGCTCGGAAGGAGTGGGGGGCTGAGCCAGCAAAGGCACGGTGCCGGTGGGGGTGGGATGCTGGACCAGAGAGCAGCTGGAAAATCATGGAGCTGGGAGCTGGAGGCAGCTGAGTCCTGCGGGCAGGGCAGCGAGCGTGGGCAGGGCTGCTCCTCGTGCTGGGGAGGAGAAGGAGGGGTGAGAGGTGTAAAAGAGGTGATGCTTCAATTCTGGAACATATAATTTAGTGTTAACCCAAACGCCTCGTGTGAGGGGTGCAGGCTGTTCCCTGCAGCCTGGGGGAAGGTGAAGGAGCTGCGAGGGTTGGCGTGTGCTGGAGGAAGACCGGGCAGTGGCAGGTTGTGCTGGGTAGACCTGTCCTCTCCAAACAGCTACCGAGTCTCTGGACTCGTTTCCTGCCACCTTGGTCCTTTGTGCTGCCCCGTGCCCGCTCTCCTCCCGGTCCCTGGAAACCTGATTGCCTCTCAGCTAGGACTTTTCTTGCGATAGCTTTGCCTGGCAAAAATTCCCACGGGGAACGCGCAGGAGAGTGGCCCAGCACACGATGCTCATGCAGGTGTGAGCACTGGGAAACCCCTTTTTCTCACCTCCGTCGGGTCAGTGCTGTGAGGGACAGCGGCCGTGGCTGGAAAACGTGTTACTGCAGGGTAAGCTCCTGCGTCAGAGGAGCAGGGATGTGCAGGGAGAGTTTGGCATCGGTAGCGTCGGGTAGCTGCTCCCGAGCCGCGTTGTGCCAAGGAAACAGCCTCATCCGTGGGGCCAGATGCTGTAGGTGTAGCAGAGCGACGCGTGCCCGGTGCAGTGAATGCAGCAGGGATGCTGGGGAGCTTGACGCTTGTCCGGTGCCACTGGACGCTATCAGGGAAATGTGTGATTGCTTTGGCTGCCTGCCCCACCTCCCGCGGTTTTGGCTGGACAAGGGGTGTCCACCCACTGCTCCAAACCCATGGGGATGGTGCTGCCGGTACCAGCTGCCAACGTAGTGCCGGGCCTGACCGGCGGCACGCGGCACGGTCCGGGATCACGGTTATGCCTTTCCATCTCCCAGCGTTGCTAGGGGTTGTGTGCAGCAGCATACTTCATGCCTCAATTAAGACTAATTAAGTTTCCTCATTACCATCCTTACCATCCCAGCCTCCCTCGTTCCTGGACCGTTCCCATGTGCCACAGTCGTGGACTCGGCACGCAACCCCCCGGCTCCTGGGGCCACCCTCCTTACGGCAGGGCTTGAGGTCCTCGATTCGCAGCGGCAGCGAGCGGCCCCGTTCGTGCAGCCGCACATGAACACGGGACACGGTGCCTGGCAGGGGGAGCATCCTCGGGGCGGCCGGCAGCATCCCTGCCCCAGCCAGCAGCCGGCGGAGCGTTTGCTCCGCACGAGGGAGGAAAGACGAGGTGGTGACACTTTATTTCGTGCACGCGTACGCCTTTCAAACAGCTCTGCTGGAGAAGGGTCTCTGGTGCGAGCAAGACAGAGAAGCTGAAGTGAAACGAGTTCCCAGCGGCACCGATGAGCGAAGCTGCGCGAGGGCTGGGACAACTGCCCACGTGTCCCAGATAAAAGCTCTGCGCTCACGCGATCCCTGACGGCAAAGAGCTCTCTCCGTAAGTGGGTGCTTTGCAGGATGCTGGCCCCTCCGACTGCTGCTGGACTGAGCCTATTCCTTGTCTTATTGAGTCCTTAGAAGTCTTGCTCTGACCCAGAGGTGGGGTTACCTTTGAGCTGACCTTCCAGGGAGGGTGGCAGTTCACGATTGCATGCATCCTACCCCGGGGGTAGGTCGGTATCGCTGCTCCTTTTAAGATATAAACTTCAGCTTGCTTGCTTTTGCTTAGCCCGGTGTGACTCTCTGGCCCTGGCTCTGCAAAGCCCGTCTCGTGGGGTTCGTTGAATCCCGTCCCGCTGCGTTACCTTCCCCCCTCCCCTCGCAGTGGCTGTGCACTCGGCTGTGCACACGCGCACAGAAATGCATACGTGGAAACGATATATGCACATACACTCTTATACCACTTGAAATGAGTCAGGGAATGGCTGTTTACGGTGCTAGAGATTTCTTACTCCCCACGCTAGGGACGAGATGACTTAGTAAGACCAATAAACTCCACCTTCGTCGTCAGTTGTCTTTAAGTAAAGCAGAAGAGGGGCACTGGCCAACACCTACGGTTGGGTGCTCCGTGGTCCCCGAGGTGCAGGGAGCCCCCCCCGGCATCCCCCATGCCTCAGTTTCCCCCCTACCCCGTGAGAAGGGGACACGGACGCTCCCCACCCCGTGGGGACCGCGGGAGAGCCGACGCATCCCCGTCTCTGAAAATGGGAAGTACCAAAGCAGCGAGTCGTGGTCCCCGGCTGTCCACCCCGGGAGGCAGAGAGCAGCCCGTGGCTGCGGGCAGAGGGGTGGAGTGGAAGATGACTGCCTGGCCACGGGGCCGAGTGGTAAGCCCAGGGCTCAGCCCCCCAGGCAGGATTCGCTCCTCCTGCCGCAGCCTGAGCCCCCTTTGCTCATGCCGGGTGGGCAGCTGGCGCGGTGTCGTGGCAGGACTTTCCGTCACTAACGAGAGCCTTGTCCGGTTCCCTTCGGTCTACCGCGTGCATTTCATTGTCAACTTGAGGTTGTTGTTGTGCAAAAGAAGTGATTATGAAAAAGCAAAAAAAAAAAAAAAAGAAATAAACTTGGTATGGAAGCGCAGGTGTCCGTCTCCCTCCGTCAACGGGGCAGTTT